AAAGTTTGTTAAATTTTTTGTAAAAATGAACATTTAGATAAGTGTTGAAAATATATTGGGTAAGAAATCTCTAAACTGAAGTAACTTCTTCTTTAAAGTCTACAAAATAGAATTTTTTTCTGATTCAACTGAAGTTTGAAGAAAACCTATTTTAGAATGATTCTCAGCCCTAAAAAGAAAAGTGGATGTCAAATGGAGTTTTTTTGCATGAGTGGAATTTCCTGTACACACTTTTTTAGTTGTCTCAATTTTCTTGTCTATAATGCTTTAAGCTAATGGCACTTGTATAGGACCGTCTGGTATCATGAACAAAGCTTTCTAGTTGGCTGTTGACTCACATGTAGTTTTTAGAACTGTGGTACAGCTGAATACAGAAATACAATTTTATGGTAATGTGGAGAAGTGCATATTCTGACACTAGAGTAGAAAAAAAGTTAGTTACAAAATCGTTTAAATAGTGCTGAGATGAAATCTAAACTTTGTATTAAAATCTTCAAAATTTTTGAACAAATTTTCGTCATCTCTCAATCACTATCGCATCATAGCAAATGTACTCGGTGATTGACAACACGGCTAATACTTTTTCTGTTGTTCCACTGATAAGTTTTTAATCGTTACTGTTCGTTGACCAGAATAGCACAGGATTACGCAGGATTATGGCAGTCACGAGCTAATTTATATATAAAATAATTAATTAATTCTTTGATCACAAAATAAACGCTCTAAAATTGTTTCAATTTCATTTTCTGTTTTTTTAAACTTTTTTCTAAAATATTATTTTTAAATGTTTCTTTCCACCTGACGCATCGTCTCTAGTGATTTCGTTATTTAAGTTTGAGGTCTCTTATGAAAATACTCAATAAAATGAAAGCTCTACATCTTTGCAAAACTTTGTTAGGCGTGAAATTGGCATGCAAAAATATTTAGTATCACCAATCTTCTAAATTTAAATGCAAGTCGTAAAACGTGAAAGCGTTATAGGAGGAAAAGTCGTAAACGAAAAATTGCAAAGCAACAATGATTATGAATGATTTGAATGACTACTTTTTGTCGTGAGAAAAATATGATCACACATTTTTACCAGCAACTGTAAAAAACTCTTGAAAATTTATATTAATCGACTTTCTTCAGTCACTTGACATATCTATCTTGAATATATATGTGCTCTAAAATGTCTTACTCAGGAGTTAATTATTTTTTGTAAAAGAAACTGTCGATGAAACTACTGAAAACCAAGAGTAGTTTTTTATCTTGTGAGCTGCTAAATATACGATATTTCTTCAGTAATAAAAATCTTTCCAAGTTTAAATGACTAGAATTTTATTGTTTTTGGCTGTTTTTTAATGCAGCGCTATCAATCATCTGAAATATACACCTCAGATTAACCAGTAACTATTTGGTAACAATGAAACCTGTATCTAATCATCAGCTTAGTTTCCACTCGCCCTGTTTGATAATTTGCTTGAAAGCTTCTATCAAAAACGCTAGTGACTATTCTGTAAGATAAAGAAAAAAGACCTCAAAATCGTCCAATTGCAAAAAAAGTAATTGTAAAACTGTACTATATTTCTTCTCTACATCTCAACCTTTTTCTCTTCTCTTCTTCTTTTATAATATGTCTGCCTGCACTGTGAATCTATTATTTTAAAATGGCGAAATGATTATTATGAGGTTGTGTTCGCTTACAGCTAATTTTAGCAGTTCAAAAAGCCTATGCCAAGATCGTGACTGCTAACGAATACAACAGGTAAGCGGTAACTTGAAAGTTAAAAAACAGTTTATTTTGATAAGTGACGCATATTATGTTTCTCTTTTTCTCCACGAAAATTGCATGGTTTTATTTCGTAAGATTGTATGTTTTTTCAAACTCTCCAATTCTTTTACAGCTTCAAGCTCATTCGTACTTGTCATTATTTCTCGCAGCCTGTTTTTCTCGCAGTGCTAACGCTGTTAACGCCTTTTCGCTAGAATCTTTCAGGTTAGAAAGTTACTTTGAAGTCATTTAAGAAATTACAGGGAAAGTCTGTTTTTATCAAAATCTTAATGGCTTTTTGCTTCAGATTTCGCTGTTAAATTGGATTAAGACCGCTGTCTTACTCAGTTTAGTGATTATAGCTGAATCTGAATAAACTCGGATAACTTACCTATCAATTAACTAACTGAAATCCACTCTTCTGACCTTTACTGTGCGCCAATATAAAAATTTTTGTTTTAATTGGAAGTTCTTCAAGCGCATTGAAAATTTTTTTCAAACAAAATTTTTTTCAATTTTGAAATTAGTTGTCTATGTAACAAATGGTAAAGTTAAAAACAAAAAAAAAAAGGAGAGGTGTAATAAGCATATATAGTGAAGTCGTCAATGAGTGGTTTCAATACGTAGAAAAAAATACTTATTTGTGGTACAAACATTTTTTATTTGATGATATGCAGAACTAAAAAGCAGCTCTTTTAAAATCTCTTTTTTCGTGTGCCGCCTTTCTTAAATACGTATTTAGGTTTCATTTTCGTTGCCTCTTTCTGCTTTTGTAATGCGGGTCTTCTTTCTTTCGTTTAACTATTTTTCAGAAGTTTTATTTTTTTCCGGTTTCTGCTTTTTGTGATAATCTGGAATTTGTATTTGATAAAAATAAGTCACGTGGAGATTCTTGTCATTGATGATGGTCTGAAAAAGCGTGTGTACTTAAAGTGCTCATTTTTCTCAACTTTATGAAGAGCTTCGCTGTTTTAATAATTTGAAAAAAGATGCTTAGTTTGCTTTATAAATTCAAGACCTTATTTTTTTCGCTTTTTTTACGTCTAAATTCTTTTTCATTTCTTAATATCAGTGCAAAAAGTTTTGAAAAATTGTTTTTTTTCTCTTTTTTTGAAGAAAATAAAAAAATTCGGAAAAAATGTTGATATTGCTGACGATAGGAATAATGATGCTAGGTATTATCTTTAGTGTAAACCTCAGCTGGTAGCAAATTAGTAACTTTATTAAAAAAACTTACATTTGGCAACACTGTTTTTCTGAAAAGACTTCAAAAATATCTCATTCCTTTTTACCAGAGATTTCTGCCTTATATATTTTGAAAACTCGTTTTTGTTTACTTTTCTATACATTCTTCTTCAAATTTACTAACTAAGCATTTATGAAGGCCAAACTACTCGTTTTTCTATTTAAAGTGGTTGGAAAAGGTAATTAGTCTTTAACATTCATTCGTTTATTTACAGCAACTTAATTTTGGTTACTGATAAGTGATGATTTTCAGAAGAGCTCCTAAAAACAATTTTACTCTCAACTGATAGTGTGACATTATTTTTTTTTCGTAAATCGCTTGATGAGAAGGTGTCTTTATAATGATATTAGCAGTGCTGGTGATACTAAGACTACGTGTCACCTTATTCTTCAGATTATGCTTGATTGACTAGTATAATTCTTTCTCAAAAAAAGGCTGTACTTTAGGTTCTTCTGCGTCATTTCGCTCGGTATTTAGCGTTGATCATTGCTGTCAGTTATGAAATGTATTTTTACCAAAAAAGAAGGAGAAGTTCTGTTTTGTTCAACAAAAAAAAAAATTAAAGAATAAGCAATCTAGTGAAGTGACGGCCTCAACACATTGGCTAGCTGCTTTTCGGTGGGAAAGGTGAGGAAGGGTACAGTGAAGGTCGCAGCGCGAAGAGATGGAGACAGTAGCAAGGATGGAGAGGGCAACAGTGACGGCGCAGTCTCTGCATTTAGTCATATGGACTTTATAAAGCTCACACAATAGAGGCACTGCTAGTCTCGGTTTCAAATTCGGTAACTTCGCAGTATAGTTGACTGCACTGCAGTCTTCTGTGTGCTTATAAGGTCGGGAAAAAACAGTCCATTAAATGCATGTTTTGCCTTCTCTAGAAATGTCTGCGAAGAACATTTCAGGAGACATCTTTTAACTATCTGTATGAAAGTGTAATTGGTCTTCACCGGCTTCTGATGGGTCGTGAAGCAGTCCATTTTTGGGATGTCCCTTACGTGCGGGGTGCGAATAAAGTTTTCCTTAGAGGTCTGAAGACTAAAGAAAGAAACTAATGTCTTGAAGTGCTTGGCTATACTTACAACAGATATCTCCCCTATAACAAGCACGAGCGACCATTCTTTGCCTGACGTATCACACTGCACACCATTACACCTCACACGACTCGTGGAAGTGTCTTCTGAAAAGCTACACAAATTTGGTTTCTTCCACATCATGGCATTATTTTCGAGCCAGCCTCACTTACCTCAAACTTGGAAAATTGAAAACTTTTTCATTTTCGACTTGACGTCACCACTTCAGCCATGTTTTACTACTGTGCATGCTTTTCACCAACCCCTTTGTTCTTCTATTGCTAAAAAAAGTCAAATCAATGCACAACATCTCGCTGCTGTTTATATATCACTAGCTGTGAGCGATAGGCTTTCAGTGCTAGAGAGGGGATTCGTAATCTTCAGACGCGGTTCAAAACGACTGAAATGCGTTTCTGACCACCTCAAGCTGCTGGGACAGCGGCGTTGCGCTTATCACAGCTTGTGTGGAGAAGCAGCCCCTACTAAGGCCATTATTCCAAATATACATGTAGAACCGTCAACAAACAAGAACTCCAAAAACTTTTGCTCGGACTAAAAATACAGTTTTTATGATTTAAATTTATTATTGTTTTTCCAAAATTTTGACAACTGCTGTCAGTAACAGTTGCTTTTCCCAAATGGTCACGGGGTTTTAAATGAAGCAATTTCAAAATTAATTTGAAGTTAGTAATGAAAAGAATAGTACTGGTGAAAAAATGAAGTAAAATATACCATACAATTTTATAATTAAATTATTGTTTATAGTCTTGTTAGCTGGCCTTTTTTGAAAAATCCTTACTGCTTTGTTTGCAAATTTTTTTCGTTTCTTCGTTTTTTTAGTCTTATATGGCGACCTGATACCAAATAATAATTTTTTTTTCGATACTGTACAGGATTTTTATTATTTTCTTTGATTTTTAGGAAACTAAAAATGCGTGATGAAATAGACGAAAAGCCATCAAAAATTACTGTACTGAACGATACTAAAGATTTACCTAAAACTGGACGTGTTTGGTGCGATGGATGGTTAGATTTTCTTAAGTTTTTTAGTCAAGATTCTGCAAAAATTCTTATGTAATTTCTATATCACTACCATATACTATAGTTGTTATGTGGTATCCTTCAAACTTAATTTCTAGATAAGAATTTACAGTAGGAAAAAATCCTGGATTGATGCCTTTTTATTTGATGGAGTTTCCTTTTTTGATAAGAGTAAAAAAGAGACTTTTAGCTTCTTTTTGTAAAACTCAAATGACTATTGTAACTGATGTAAGTGAAGTAGTTTTGTATTTGTAATTGGTTCAGATAAAAAACAGAACTTTTTGTCACCTTTCGTTTGTCTTACTAAAGCTCTATCTTTTTTAAAAACCAGTAAGATCGAAACATCAACACTTAATTATCTGTGTATTCTTTTTAAGCTTTGATACGGTTCATTATGGTCATGCTAACCAGTTACGGCAAGCTAAGCAATTTGGAAATTGCTTAATTGCCGGTGTTCATACAGATGCTGAAATTGAGCTCTATAAAGGTCCACCAGTTTTTACGCAAGAAGAGCGATACAA